CACCAATCCATCTGTAGGGAAAGTTGGGGCTTTCTACTCTCACTAACAGTCATCACCTTGGAAACGCACAGGGGTAGTTGCTATGAGGATGGCACGGGGCCAGGCAATGGGTCATTTTGTTGTACACAAAGTTGCCATGAGTCAGGATCAAGTCCATGTCACCAAACAACGTTTGCTTTCTAAGAGACTTTATGCCCAAGGTCTATAGCAGTGTTTCCCAAAGTAGTCAATACCACCCCCTTGAGTGTGCTGGACCGATCCAGGAGGGCGGCAAAACCAGATACCGACACTTTATCTTGGTTGTGGGCTATATATAGTACAAAAGTTGTCAAGTACCAAGGGGCAATAAGTAATTTTTTTTTCTGAAAAAGGGGCAGCAGTAAGTGAAATAAATTTGGAAGCCTATGGTCAATCAAAACAGGTTCCAACCTCAAAAACCAACATATGCCCAGATTATCACTGTTTTCTGGGGTCTTCCTGCTTCAAATGGCCATGAATGTTTTCAATTCAGTGGGAAAAGGAAGATTTGGTAAATGATCTCTGAGAAGTCAAACTCACTCATGGACGGGGGAACCTAAAAGCTCTCAAAATTATCAAATGACTCCAGTTAGCTGGACAGAACAGCTCAGAACCCAGAGAGAAGGGAGGGGACATAAGAATGATGTTTTGGCCCAAGCCGAGCTACATTAAACCCCTCCCCATAAGAAGGCAATACAGAGGACAACACTGAAGAGATGACCCAGGGAGAGAGGTGGGTCTGTCCAGACCACACGGGAGCAAACTAAGAGGGAGAGAGAGTGGACCTCATCATGGCCCACCAAGCCCCAAACATGACATCCCTGCTAGAGCAGCCAGTGCATAGAGAGGACCGTAAGGCCAGTCCCACCACAAGGCACAATGTTCCCTCACTGACCATAGTGCTACAGGGACAGCACTGGAGACATTGTGGGGAAAGTGCACCTGGTCCGCCCCAGGTACAGTGGAGCGAAATGTGAAGGGAGTGCCACTGGGCAGCAAGAGGAGCAAAGTAACCAAGTCCCCAAGGAATCCTGAAACTAGACTTCTGACTTGGAGGACAAGGTTTGGCACCTCATCAGACTTGATCGGAAAGCATACATGAGGGTCAGCAGACAGACATGGAATGACTTGGTTTGGTTTCTCTTGTTCTGGTTTTTTTCTCCTGTTTTGCTTTGTTTTGTTTGTTTGTTT